CAGTTCGGGTTGCCTCTAGGGGAAAAGAAAAGGACCCTGAGTTTTGATAGCTCCGAATCTGCTTCTCTCATCTTTATTAAGATCTGAAATAATTGGACTTAACTAGGTGTTGTTTATTTTACAATGTGGAGTTTAGCCCAAAGGCAAGCTGTGTTCTAATACAATATTTATTGAAAAGCTTACTTTGTTTTGTCTCGTTTCATATTTGCAGATTTTCTGTTGGTTTTTGGTATAGAATACTGCATAGAATATTTTATCCATAGCCTATATTATATGGCGAAGTTAAATATTCAATATAAGAAATTTATTTATTCATTCAACTTTCTTTATACTAGATGGCACGCTCAATACAAAGGCACTGGTTTTCGCTGTAATCCAGGTATAACATAAAAATACAACAGCTATTCAATAGCAGACTAACACACTACACCTTTATTAAATTTTCATGCGATTCAATATTATATATTTATTGTGAAATCACAAATATAGGTTTAAGGGTGATGTATGATTTAGTTTTTGACAGTGTGGAAGAAGCTAAAGCCTGATTTTAGAATTCATGGCAAACCATCCACACACATCCCATGCATTCTGTCTTGTAGAATTATCTGGTTTAAAATAATTTAATGGTTAAGGTGTCCAATTGTATAGGTAGTATTTCAGACTGCTTATTTTAAAATGAAACAAAAAAATATTTTGGAAAAGAAAATAAAGAGCCTGAAATACATATATATTTTAAAGATTTTAGGTCACGGGTCATCAGCAACACCAACTTTTTGGCCTAATTATAAAAATAGCATGTCTCATTACTTGTTACTATCTATCATTGTTGTGATGGTATTATCCATCCTGTTCGCAATTAATATACAAAGTGTTACTTCCTACAGAAGAATAGACTATAGAAGTCATAAAAATAACTTTGAACTTACAACACAAGCCAGGTACCAAAGCCAATTGTTTAATTATTCTTTGAAAAATTGTTATGCAGTGGGCAATTTTGTGGTTTCAGACCGAATACAATGTATTTAACTGGACTGCTATGCACTTTACTGTCCTCTTTATTACGGCAATCTTGTTTTATTCTGAGGTAGGACAATGCGATGAAGACCCGTTTTTATTAAATTGAGATGCATCAACTGTAAACTTTAAAAGATTGAGTTTCCTTTTTTTTCTTGTTTATCTACACTTCACAAGTTCATTGACATTGTGAAAGTACACTTGGAACTAGTTTTAAAATCTTCTTTTTACTTCTGTCTATCATAAACTCTGTATCTCACACAAATCATGTTTGCTTAATTCCAATAAGCCTATTTTTTTACATTGAACAATAAGTAGCCCAAGAATTTTTAATTGTTATTTAGCTGATTTAATCAATAAGGTTAGATTAATCCATTCAAAAAATTCTATCAAGGCTTGTATGCCCTCAGAAATTGTAAAATAATTTCCACTAGTGCATGATCTATAAATATACTAATTGCTATATTAATTTTTGTTTTTGTTCTGTCTATCATAGAGCATCTTAGGAGCTGTCTCAATATTGAATTGAATTTATTGTCCTATCTATGAGCATTTCTCCCAACTCTTAATAAATATTTTTACATGCTTAATTTAATTGTTTATTTCCTCTTTTATTATAGACTTCCATTAAGTTAGCTTTCCCAGGCTTTTATACACTATATGTTTATTGCACATGCTTGCTTTGTTAATCATGGAATAAGGAATCCTCTAATGTTTAGACACTTCATTTGTAATCACCTAATTTTAATTAGCCTGTTATTAATTTTTTTTTATCCTAGTTATCGGTAAACATTCCCCCAGATAAAGTCACTGTTTTTGCCCATATACCATTATTTATCTTAATTTTTTCATTTTATAATTTTATTGATTATATTTCTTTTCTGCATTGCTGTATTTTATCAAATTATTTTTTTTGTTCATTCAAATTTTCTTATGTTTTACTGCAGTATTATTTTTGGGTTTAAAATATCTCATTGAAAAAATATGTAGCAAACTAGCAAGACAGTAGGTTAATTATTATTTTCTTGGATTGCCTTAGGGTTATAAATTTCAACGAGAAGTTCCTTAATCTATTATGGTGGTTAAAATATACCTTTTTATAGGCTAGGCCTTCTTTTCCAAAGTATTTATGCCTGCAGCCATATCCATCCTAATCAGGAAGAGTTAGTGCTGGTAGTTTCGGATATGGGGGGTAGTGTTCCCCTGGAAAGCCAAAGATAGATTTTTTATTATTATCATCGCTGGGATACTTAAGTTTGTTACTGCAACTTTAGTAGGATGAGGCAAATAACAACAAAATATATTTGCTTCTGGCCATGGTTTGTCATTTTACTGTATTTTTTTTAATAAAACGTGTTTTATTCCCAAAAATAATGCTGCATTTCATTATACACACTGTTGAATGAACAATATAATTTGATAAAATATAGAAATGCCGAAAAGAAATATAATCAATGAAGGTAAATGAAATACAAAAATAAATAAATGAATAAATTTAAAATGAAGAATTGGTCTATATAAAAACTTCAGAGAAGTAATCCAGAAGGTAATTAAAAACTGATCACTAGTATGAAATCAAATAAATAAAAGGACAATCAATATTAGTTAATGAGATGTCTAATATTAGAGGATCGCTTATTCCATGGCAGACAATGCAAGCATGTGCAATAAACAAATAGTGTATAAAAGCCTGGGAACGCAAACTGAATGAAATTCTAAAATAAAGAGGAAATAAACGATTAAATTAAGCATTTAAAAATATTTATTAATAGTTTATTTTCCAAAATTCGTACGGCAAATATTGGTTGAAGTGTGGACCATGCAGACAAACACAAACAGCACATGACAAAATGATGTTCTCATTAATGAAACGTAGGGAACAATCTTCGTCAATTATTGTCAAAATTTTGGCATATATGCTTTCATAGAATATCATGTATACATTTTGACATTGAAACATTCAAGGTACCATAATGTTATTTTTCTATCAATTGGAAATTAATTGCTATTACTACTGCCTGACAAATTATCATACGATAAAAGTGATTTTCAATGCAAAGATTTTCCTTCCTGAAAAATTTACTGAGCCAATATATAACTTAATAATACTTCAAAAATCTGTAGCAATTATAAGTGTGCTTTGTGTCTCAGATATTTAATCTTGGCTTTATCTGTTTTGATTAATAAAGAAATCACAATGATAGAATTTATGATGTTTTCATGATAAACTATTCATATAAATACGCATCCACACTGACTGAATTATGGCCATTGTCAAGAAGCTGAATAAAATATAATTGGCCTTTAATGGGGTTACTATAGAATCAACACAAATACAGGCAATAAAATATGATTATGATGGTAATTAGTGTAGATGGTAAAGATATTTTTGAATAAATTGTATACATGATCTACATTGGGATAAAATAAAATGACAACAATTTTGTATTTATTTTGATAAGTATGGTAATGATTGTTGAAAAAGTTGGTGTAATTATCAATTGTGAAAATGGAATATATACAATTTGAAAAAAAATATAAAAGACTATAAAATTCTCTTGATCTATTAAAAATGGGAATAAGATAGAATAAAGACTTAAGGAAAATACATAAATATTTTGTAAGTATGAATATAGTGCTCTTGAAAAAAACCTCACCTTTCAAATTTGTATGATAATGACTAAACATAAATAATTAGTTGTTTATCTTTCTAACAACTGAATAGAAAATCTTCAAATAAAAGATGGTATTAAAAATTTAACATTTACAGACAATTCTGTCTTTTATTTTTTAAGATGATAAATGACAAAAATGGAGAAATATTCGTCTTAATATATTTTCATATTTATGGTGTATTGAATTTTATATTAAAATTTGATGATGTATTACTGTATTTCACAAACAGGGCAGTTTTGGATGATAATAAAAAATTCAAATGCAAAAATGCAATTTAAGTTTGTAAATTGCTATTTATATATCACATGTCAGGAATACAATTAATATTTCAACAATTCTTTTCTTATAATTTAATGTCAAACATTAAATTTAAAAAATAATTATTAATTATCTGAATGCAAAGTTTATATTTTTATATATTGTATATAATATCGATGAAATAATAATTGAATATTGATGATTTTTTTAAATTAAATGTTTATTTTTCTAAAATGTAATTTGATGTTTTGTCCATTTCTGTGATCTTTTTGTATGTAATTGTTACATTTATATATTTAAATTGTAAATACCATGACAATTCAGCTTTGCTGCTAAGATGTTTTTTTATTTTTTTATTTTAACTGAATAAACCATTGATCTATCGATCTATTTTTAATGTTTGAAAATCCATGTGATTTGTGAGTATTAGATACACTGTCATGCGTGATCCCTTGGTAAGGAAGATCTATGAAAACTCTCTCTGCACCTTGCAGCTGTGATTTGTTGTCTGTTCATCTTTATCTATTTCACACTTAAAGAAGGCTTAAAAAGAGAGCTTTATTAGATTACTTGAGCTCTTGTAAAGGACTTTACTCACATTTTTGTTAATCTTTGTATTTATTCAATTACGATATTCAAGCAGTAATTCTCCTAACTTCACTAATACCACTTATCTTAAGCACATGCTAATTCATCACCAGTACAGTCTAATTTATCTTTATCTTACTAGGGTTCTGAATCATAAATCTGTAGGCCCTTATCTTGTCACCTCCTGGTTGTTTTAACTTGCTCCTATACTTTATTTAATACAAATAAGTATTGTACTGTACTAGGTAAGTGTGAACAGCTTGATGTTTTAAGTCTAAACATCAACTCTATCTTAATAGTCTTGCTCTTCATTCTGTTTACTCTGCTTGCATTGATAATTAGGCATCAATAGTAAGTGATAATTGGATAATAATAACAATAGATTTAGAATTATTGGCCAGTGAGGGCCCACCAAGCCAGGTAGTGGTCAGACCCAGTATCACTTAAGACAACACAGTGACCACTCTTTTCATTCAGTCCAGTGATTTTGCAGTGAGCACATCATTCCAGTATAGATAGTCAATTTTAATGGTTAAGTGGCTATTTCATTGATTACCACATTGTGGTGTGGATTACATTACCCAGAATAGCTTGACTGGTTGATTGCTTCCTGTGGTACTGATACTAAAACAATTGATATTTTTCCGAGTGCTATTGGCGGTGTGATCATTTATTGTTGTAAGTACACATGCAGTACAGTACAAAGAAACCTAGTAACTTTTTTCATTTTGATAATCCATTATTTAATACATTTTCTTTCACTAACTTAATTTTATTTTATTTCAATTCGCATTCCAACAGGGGAGTCCGCCACTTTAAAAAATTATTATTAATATTATTATTTTTTATTTAGAAAGATATCATTTGAAAATGATATCTGCCAATCATGTACAGTAGGCGCAAGGTCTATTCATTGTTTTTGTCTTCATGGAAAACAGAATATCATTTTCTTTTAATAATGATGTTTGTCATAATAAATTATATTGATATAAACGTTACTTGATTTCAATAATTAGGCTTATTGATATTAATTTTATTCACTTACAAATGTATTTTTATTTACAGTCAGCTCTATTCTAAAATTGGCTTTTATTAGTACAACGTAACCATAAATAATAATGTGATTGATTTATAAATTATTTATACTTTAATTTATTTCCCATAGATCACTGCTGATCATTAGTTCCAAAAAAAGAAAAAAAAAAACCCTAAGAAATATTATTTATATTATTATTTATTTCCAAGCATGCATTATTTCAGCATTATTGCATATTGCAGAACTTTGGTTACAGAACAAAAAAAAAAAGCAAGAACCTTAAATATGAAACTAAGCCAGGCAATTCTTAATCAACTTGATGATGTAGCTAGGTCGTAGAAGTGAAAGAAACCAAAATTGTTGGGCCGTTTGGCTGTACTTTTGGTACTTTGTCAGTTTTTTCCCAGGGCCGGTGGGGAAAAGTGGTGTTGGTGGAGAAATCTATGAAAGCTGTATGGACCAGCGTCTGTCTGGGTTTTCGATGATCTTTCATTTTCAACCAACAAGGAATAGCAACTGTGTCTAGATGATATATTAGGCAGTTTCCAGCGAGCATTTTTTTTTTACTCTAACAAATTCAGTTTGACACCTTAAGACGGGTGCAATTTGTATATCACTGTCTGGGTAGAATTCATACATCATAGAATTGTCAGTCGTTTGAGGCCTGTTGCTACTGATAGAGATTTGAATACAGACAGTGTCAGCATACCCACACTAGGGACTACCTACATGATCTTTTAAGTAACTCAAAAAAATATTTTAAACATTAGTACATAATAATAATAGTAAAGATATTTGGTTTTTTTTTAAAGTAAATTAATTATGCAGTATTACATTTACTTGTTAGTACTGCATTATAACAGTGGAACTGCAGAGAATTGATAATACAGTTTTTCATGTTAATAACACTTTGAGATGTAAGAGTAGAGCCTTCATTAAATTTAATCTAAAATTTTATATTTAAAGTTACCACAAAATGTTCTTTTGATTACAATTGTCGAATTACCTAGATAAAAGTTTTATGTTATATTGATTAATTATTTTACAGATTGGCATTTATACATTTTTGTAGAACCGTAAAATAATATTTCATAACATAATTTCCGACTAAATAACTTCACAAACATTGCTAACCATAATACTGTATTCACACATTTTTCACAAATAAAATTTGCATTTGCTGATGGCAGATTTCAGATTTAGGTAAATATGCATCCAGAAATTGTTAATATTCATGGTTACAGTAATTCTAAAAACAAACCAAAAAAATAAATAAAATGAGATAAACAATATTTTGAACAGATATTAATTTTCTTAAAACTAATATTTGGCCTAAAATGACTCAATATAGAGAGTTAAGGCTTATAGATTGTTGTTTATAGGAATGTAGGCTCTCTTTATGTTGTTTCTTATTATTGGCTTTAAGCATGCTAAGTACTGTCTGTTATTTTTCATCTAAAAAATAACACATCATTTCCCTTTGGGTTAAAAAACTCAGCCAGGACAGGTATTATTTACACATAGGTTCTATTTCAAACAATGTTAGTAACAGATTCCGTGTTAACTTCTTTATGAGATGGTATGCCGCATAGCATAAGCTTATTCACCAAAGAATAAATCAACTATCTTTCCTATAGACATGTCCATTCTCACATGGTTTTGAAAGTTCTTTAATACGTGGAAGGTGTCAAAAATGAAGGAAAAGATAATGCTTGAAAAATGCAGTGACTCAATAAACATGTGTTTTTTCCTGCTCCAACCATAAGTTGCATGTTCCAATTAAATAAAACACTTCATAAATTCTGGCATGTTCCTATTATCAACAATTCTAAATATATAAATTACAGACAAGAGAATAATTTGCCTTTCATTGACCATGTTCAGTGTCATATCATAAATTCACTTCGAATTCCCAGTCGGGAATTATAGAAACTTTTGAATATGACCCTTTCAACACCTTAGTTTTCATGTGTGAGCTATGTACATGTCAATGTAGTGTTTACGAAACATGCCTGTATGTGCCACATGACTTCATCAACCAACCTGACAACTCCCCTGAATTTAAAGTCGCTGTGAAGTAAGTAAATACACTACCTGTATCCATCCACGCTAATATTACAAATTTTTTTTTTTTTCGCTGGCATCTAACAAGGAATGTAGACACCTCAGATTGAGTGATCTCTGCATCACCTCTGACAATGTTTATACTCCTGCTCTTAACCTCTTCTCTACTATACACCATATATTACAAACTCTTTGTTTTTGACACTAATGATATTGCAAATATTTGTTCCACTACTAGCTTTTGAAAGTGATATTCTTGTTTATTTTTTTCTAGTCGTACATCATACCTGGTATGACAATTATAAGGAACTGTCCCATTATAAACTCTACATTTTTACCATTCTAAAGTGTACCTGTCTGATAAAAAAAAAAACAACATAAAAGATCCAATAGTCTTCCAAGGAAATAAAAAATGTGGATAATTTATGGCATTATTTCTACCTGTTTACATGCTACCTCAGATGAAGGTTCTCAATCTGACCTAGATATTTGAAAGTCTTTTGTCTTTACAACTTTTTAAATAATTTTCTTCCTTGTTTGAAAAGTATTTTTCTCCCTAGATGTTCTCAATTTTTAAAATTCTGACTAAGTTGAACTATGCATTATCAACCACATCTCTATTTACATTTTTCAATGTTTAATCAGTTACTTGTCATTTTTAAATAAGTTTTCCATGGGAAAAGCTCTTGGCTCTCTTAGTGCTAAAAAAAGTTGATGGAAGTACAATAACAAACTGAAATTCAAACACAACAGCAAAATTTAAAGGGTATTATCTAAGCATTAGAGAGGAGGTTTTGGGTTTTGTAAAGTCTGATCCCATTGAGAGACTAATCATCGTGTTGCGTTCTTCATAGAATCGCGTCAGCCGATGACTATCGTACGCTATGAGTACCCGGCTTAACAGTTTAACGTATGTTAATTTAATAATTTTTAACATTATTTGATTGTTAACATAAACTTGTTTATGAATATAAAACAACCACTTTAATGTTTGCAGTTTCAACTCTGCGTAATGTTATAAATAAGATTTAAAGCCAGGCTCCGAAATCTGATCTGAAAAAAAAAAAAAACATTGATGGAAAACTCTGGAACAAATGAAAGATTTTCGTATATTTAAAAACTGTGGGAAAAAAAAGGGCGTGCCCACCATTTTTCCCAAAGTTTTTAAATATTCAAAAATCTGTATCTCATTCATGTTCCCAAGTTTTTCAGCAAATTTGTAATCTTGGAAAATCAGTTGTACAACATATCAAAAATGTTTTTCCTCCTGAGCCTGAAGATAAATGAAATATGGGCATCGGCTAGTTAAAAAATATTCTGGTTTGTTTATTTATAAAAAACATCAATAATTGGTATGGCAGCATTACACTGAATTACGTCAATTGCACAGAAAAATGACAATAATATACTGTAAAGAGTGAAATCTGATTGATTTTGTAGTCATGCCAAACTAGTCTGCATATACTGTAGTCCATTGCCTATACTACTGCAAGAAGTATAATGATTAGTTAATTGATTATTTACTGTACATGGGAAGTATATATTTACCAGATGACATTTATTGTGGTCAGACTAGATGTAGTTGCTTTTAAATTAGTATTATCTGAGGTTATACTGGGCAATTTGTGGTAATTTTGTTTACAATCTTTCTACCAGATTGTTTTTTTAACCATTTTGTGTGATTTATCAATGAATTGATTTGATTCTTGTTGCAGTACTGTAAATGCTTCCAGGTTTCAGAACAATTTGAGGAAGTACGATAGGTACAGGCTACAGAAACCCCCATCTCCTATATGTATACCTCTTCATGGGAGGTCGTAGTCTGTAAACACCTATTGGCCCCTCTCAGATAAACAATATTAATAGTCTAATGACATTTTACTAAAAACATGATTTAATATTTTAGAACACAGCAGTCACAGACCAATACATGGGTTTCATAATGATCATACTGTATTATAGGCCTATATAATAGTTGGTATTTAAAAAAAGCATATTTTAATCATTTTTAAGGTTCTGTTATGTAGCATATGTATCTGCCAACCAAATGTAGGAATAAAAGTTAAAACAAAATTCATTTTGACAGATTGATGAACTGTTGGCCTATTCAGGGTGCAGAATATTATTTTCACAACCATTACTGCTCTGCCTTCTTGCATGTGATTTACTGAATCTCATTAAAAAAAAGTAGTTTTTTTTATCGTAACATTGTTAAATTGTTTCACATCATCGTATGTCACCTATACAAATGTTTATATTTAAAAATTCCAATTCGCTAAATTTGAAAGTAAAGTTTTTAGTTTCGCGTTATTTGTAATTACTTACTCTGGCCGCAGTGGAGGTGGGTAGAGTGCGTTGAGTCTAGACTCAATTTCCTTGTGTTATATATAATTTTTTGGTACGCAAGCATACTGCCACTCCAAATACTTTCAAATTATATTCATCTTGCATATATCGCAGTAATATATTTTTTTCCTTCACATACATTTGCAGTCAACATTTGGTAACAATATTTTTACATACTGTAGGCAACATGTAACTATATAGATTTATTAAAAACAAATAAATATCTATTTTATTTCTTTCAAATCTTCATTTCCATTGAAATTTTGTTAATCTTAAACAATAATTATGTTTAAAAATAATTATTTATGATGATTTTTCTCAAAATTTAAACTGTTGGTTGGTTTCAACATCAGTATTTATCATACAAAAAAAATATATATATATATATTCTAACTTTACTGTATTCTGTCAATTCTTTTTTGTTTTTTGTTCTTAGCAAATATCTCTTGTTTTTTTAATGTGTCAGTTATGTGAGCTTATAGCTGCAAAAGGAAACATATTAAGTAATTTGTATCAGATTTAGTTTGAATTGGTGTAGGAAAACTTAATTTTCTGTATGAGAGATTCATCTGTACTGTTTACTGTCCATGTAAGATGAAGAAATCCAGAGAACCAATCATAATTATTGTTACTTGAAAATGTGAAAGTTTCCAAACAGTTTATCATAATTTGATCAGTAAATATGCATATTAAAATTTCCCATGTATTGAGCATTCAGCCAACAAGATGAAATACACATGGCCTTAGGCAAGTTTGAGAGTAAACTCTTGGTGGCGCCAAACAACTAAATAAGCAGTGATATGATACAAATAAGTTTGTGGTAATGCTATTGGGTGATAGATAGGTTGGATCCCTGTTGTGAAGCACTGATTATATCATCAGACTTGAGAGGTCTGTTTAGTCACACAGAACTCAAGTGAGCGTGAGTTGTTAGTCTAGTCTTGTCATTCCTCGCTGGTGGACTCATAGTAAATGGGAAAACTTGTTTCTTTATAAAGGTATTTATTATAATTATTTATTAATGCTTTGTTCTGCTGTGGATTTTGTTATGCTGTAAAACACGTTAGAGAGTTACGAGATTAAATTTATTTGAAAAACATTATAGTGTACCAACTCTCCTTCAGGCACTAGCCAATAAAACTACATCCTGAGGTGTGAGATCTAATTTAAACTTGTTCAATACATTTTATACTTTGGTTCAGTAGTTAGTTGTTATTCAGTTGGTATAGACTTTGATTCAGTTGCTGTTTATTGATTCAATAATGTAGGCCTTATGGTAACGCTACTATTTAGCAACTTTTGTGTGTGTACAACTGTCCCTAAAAAAGGTTTCTTTTGTTTATTCATATTGTATGTCAATATAATTTAATACTTTTATTATTCAACATGAATTTGTTAATAATGAAACTTGGCCTACTAGTCATGAGATAGAGCATTTCCTTCTCTATGTTTGAAGTATTTAAAAAAAATTATTCTACTGTTAATTTGTTTATCAAATGAATTAAACTGAACTATGATGGGTGTGTTAATAGTGTATTTAGGAGTCTGTTTAATATATTATGTATGTTATTGCAATCTTTAACATTTACTCAAGTACAGTACTAACTGTATGGTATGTTTTATAATAAAAATACACTGTACTCTACATTGAACATTTTGTGCCTTATCAATTGTTTAGTTCTTTCTGTATTCTATGTCAATAAATTTGGACAGATCAAGTCAAACAGCATCATTAAATACAATTATATATTTAAGAACTTGTTTCTAAAGAAATGTTCTTTCATTTGTGCTAACAGATTGTTGACGAACTTGGTAAAGTACGTGGTTGGATTGATGCAAGTGAGCCTGATACGGGTGACTGGATGAAGTACATACGTAGTGCACCGGATCTGGAGGACCAGCAGAACATGATGGCAGTTCAAATGGACCATAAGGTAAAGAAAATTTTACAAAATGTTTTATCTTTTTTTTTATATATATTAGTGGCTACTTTATGTTGCCTTTAGATTAGAATTATGCTTTTATATAGTTATTTATAGCAAGTACATATTGACATGTTGTGCTTACAATTGCAGCTTTAATTTCCCTATTTAACAGTGTATAATATTGTGTTTCCTTGATATATTTTGTAATGTTGTGCATTACTGAATTATAACAATGAAACATGTTGCTTGAATATACTATAGTTAACATAAATTACAATACAAAAGTTCCTAAGTATCTATATACTGGCATGCAAATGTAATCATTTATAATAAGTGCAGAATTGTAGATTACAATTAAATTGAAACTTCATTTTTCAAATACAACTACAAAAATTAAATTTAAAAAAAAATTATTTTTCAAATGTTAAAATACATTTTTTTGCAACTTGTATATATAAAATACATAGGTAAACTATACACAACAGTTTCTTTTTACTCATTCCCTTTTTTCACAAATTTACTGTAATTTACTCATATTGATTTCTTCCGTGTTTTTATATAGTTTTTGCTTTTTTTTAATTTGTATTTGTTTATTTTTATTTAAAAAAATTTAAGATTGAATATATTTTTATAGTTTGAAACTATTACACTACAGTAGTTTTATTCATACTGTAAGACATCTATTACTTGTGAGTCTGATTTGAATACATTTATAAATTTCACAATAACTATTTAAAACACATGAAATGCATTTCAGCGATCTATAAAAAAAATATTACTTTTATTTTAACTTAGTGATGTTGCTGAATTTATGATTATGTTGAGCAATAATTTAATGCCAGAAATATGTTTTATTGCCCAATGCTGACCATCCAAAAATCTATATTGGCTTTCTTTTTTGGAGAAAAGAATTATACTTATAGATGCACCCCAAGTATATGAAAACATTATTGTTCAAGCTTTAATTAATTTATTTATTATATTGACCATGGATTTTACTAGCTCTGTGGTTATCATTTTACTTAACAAACGACAAGGTGTGAGTGACGTTTTGCTATTAACCCTAAAATTTGGCCTAGGCCTAGTACTAAAAAATATCTTGCCCGACAGACGCTGTTGTCAGTGTACTAACACAATTTTGTTTGCCTAATATACTATATTGTTAAAATGTTTGTAACTGAGACAGGCTTAGGCCTACTGCATGAAGCTAGCCTCTGATCTGTTAGCTAGAGCCACATAATAATATACGCCTAGCCCTAACAACAATCTGTATTGTTTATTTATTTTATTTATTCTACATTTAAACTGTGTGAATTTGATTTATTCAACATTGACTCACAATAATTACATTTTAACACATACAAAAGTAAATAAATACTTAAATATTGAAAATATTCATCAGGTTCCCATATAATATGATAGCTAAAGAAAATAAATGTACAGTACTTGTAATGTAATGTTTCAGGTATACTGTATGTATATTTTCTTGGTCCATTAAAAAAGGAAAAAAAAAACCAAATAATTTTAAACAAATACAGATTATACGCTAAGGATAACTTAAACATTCTCTTATACACAGTGTGTTATCTTATTTATTATCTTTCGTGTAACTGTTGTTTAATTGCCAATGCAGATAAATACTAAAAGTCATATATTTTACTGCCTATAGAATAAAAGATAAACATAATTATAAATCATCAAATTCTGCAGTATTTAACATTTTATATTCCAGCATTTTTGTATTGTAATTCATTTATAGTCTTTGGTCCACTGATTATTTCTTAACTAAATAATTGTTTAATTTTGAATAGAAGTTTATTTACCGGTATTCATAGTTTTTTTTTTTTAATTGTAATTTTGATTCAGATATAAATTGAATTAGAGTATTTTGCAATTTTAGCTTTCCAAAAAAAGAGTGATGTATAAGTGTTTGCATGTGGGATGTGATATTTGTTGTCAATGCTTTTTTCCTGATAATATATATACAAATTTTTACTTTGTAGGTTTTCTATAAAGTGGTCCGTCCAATTTCCACCGGTGATGAACTGCTGGTCACCAAAGACACTGTCTTCTCAGAAAAAAGTGAACACCAGCTACCAGAAATTGGTAAGAATATTATTTTTTTAAGTTTCAGATAATGTGGTTTACAATAGTTTTTAAATCCTTACCTGCATAAACTAAGGAAATTATAGCATATAGAATTGACACAGAAATTGAATATGAAAAATTAAAAATGAATGAATATGAAGTTGAATACGTTATGCTTCAAGGCAGCAGTGAAAATGATAAAAAAAAAAGAAAGAGACTGGAACTTAAACGAAAGGCATGCTTTCAGGATCGCTTGCATTTGTACTCTCATTTATGTCCCTATTTTGGTCAAACTTTTGACTAATATTTTTTTAATTTAAAATTATTTTGTGGCATAGTTTAAGTGTATTCAACCATTTGTTTTTTTTGTATCCCAAACCCAGCCAGAACTACCTGAAATCTTGTCTAGGGTCTGCTTACAGTAAATTTGGGTTTTGGGAATTTGCTTAAAAGCATGTCTGATGTTTCAAAATGCCACTTTTAATTATTGAATTTTGATTTTAGCCATGTGGTGTGTGATAGTTTGCAAAAAACCATAGAATTAGGAGCAAGCCGATAGTTAAAAAAAAAAAAAAATTACCAGGTGTACCTAATACCTAAATGTCACTGCTTGAGCAACACATTTATATTTTTCTAACATTATTCAACACATTCCTGAGACCACACCCGCACAAGTTGCTCTTGCAGTATTATACCAATTTTACAATTTGTTTATGTGTGCTGAATATGTAATAAATAAATAAAATCCCATTTAATTATTGGATACAATATTTTGATTTAAATATTAATCCTATTTGGTTTTATTTCTTTTTTTTAAAATATTTTTAGAGGAAAAAGTACACACTTGTGGAGACTGTGACGAATCATTCACTTCAAAGACTGCCCTCAGAGATCATGAACAATATTCATGTCCTAGGAAAGAGTACAGTGACAATGAGAGTGGTAAGCCTATCCTTTTGTTTTCAATGATATTTTAATCTGAAATTCTAAAATTTTGTTTATATTTTTGTGAAGTAAATATACATTGATTGGATAGAAAATTATTTATTTACTATTTTTCATTTAAAAAAAAAATTTTTTTTTTTACTATTTATTCACAAGTCAATTATTGATTTTTGTATTTTACGCATTTATTCAACAAAATAGGTTATGCAGGTTGAGTTGCCCCTCCCACTAAAAAAATTAAAAGTATATCTTCTGTCTGAATCATGTGAATGAAAAAAAATTGTGTTTGCATGGAAGCAACACATCATAGTTGATCTTGATTCATCATTAGAAAATGTTCAACATATTGACAACTCTAAATATACTATAAATGGGCTCTCAACACCAAGTTCACGAACTTGTCTCTCCCCTACACTAAGCGTGTAAACTTAGTTGTTAAAATATTGAGATCTAATTAATTCTGTTGTCATAAGTTATTAGCATCAGCCGATGAAAGTGAAAGTGTTCACTCACTTAAAGTGACTCCCACAAGAAATGAAAATTCTGAGGTTTTTAAAAAAATGTGATCTTCTCTTTCAGAAAAACATTCTCAAGCAGAAAATAGTGATGAGGAAATGGAAAGGACACCCTCTATGGTTTCAGAGGATTATGCAAACTACAACCAATCTGAACTGAACCAGTATGATGAAAGTCGAGAGTTTAAGTGTGACCAGTGTCCCAAGACTTTTAACTGGAAGGCTAATTTAATCCGTCACCAATGTACACACAATTCAGAGCGCCAATATTCCTGTGAAAACTGTAGCAAAGTGTTCACCGACCCAAGTAATTTACAGAGACACATCCGCACACAACACCACGGTGCTAGATGCCACGCCTGCCCCGAGTGCGGCAAAACATTCGCAACAAGCAGTGGTCTAAAACAACACACTCATATACATAGCAGTATAAAACCATTTACATGTGAAGTATGCTTGAAATCATACACCCAATTTTCTAATCTATGCCGACACAAACGAATGCACATAGACTGCCGGACCCGCTTAAAGTGCATGGGATGTGGACAGGTGTTTTCTACTGTTACATCTCTTAATAAACACCGCAGATTCTGCCATGGCCAGCAGCTATTAAACAGTCAGTTAGCTGCTGGTGTTCCTCTTCAACAGAGCCTTCGTGGGGGACATGGACTACTGTCTGGAGGACATCCTATGGTTGGCAGCCTGCCAGCCGGTGCCATGCATCCTGCCAGCATGGCACACATGTGGAATGCCAACATCCATTTACAGCAACAAGCCTTAATGCAAAATAGCTTGCTGGCAGAGAAAGGACTTCCTCCACAGCCATTTATGCTAGGTTACCCACCTCTGTCGAAATCACAACCTACCAGTCCTACAGACAGCAATTTCCAAAAGCCTTTACAGCCCAGACTGCCGCCATCAACAGAGGAATGGCTAAAGCACTACACAACCCCAGCTCCACAAAAAAATTTAGAATCTGGTGACACCAAATCAAAGGAGGACAGTCCAAAAAATGTGAAACATTCAAAATCAGAGAGTGACATTAGTGATGGAAGTGATGTCTCTAATGTGAGTACGCCAGCATCAAGTGAACTTGACTCCACTTCAGGCAGTGATTTGGACAGTGATAGTGATGAGCATGTACAAAGAAAAGCACCAAAACGAGCCTTACATCACTCATCTAAATCTGCCACAAAGACTAGTGATACAGTCCAGGAGGAACAAGCAAAGAGTAGACCAATTTTGTCACCAAGTGAGGGCAGCACAGCAGGAGCTGGATCCAGTGAGCCAATCAAGGCAATTGCTTCTTTTGCAGACAAATATTTTGGTGGCCCTGGTGGTCCAATTTTCATGCCCCACTTACCATTCCCAATCATAAGACCTGGGATACCAATTGATCCTCTCTGGGCCAGATCGATGTTTCTTAACAGGCACACAGCAAATGGTCACTTAAACATAAAACAAGCTGTACCATTTGATCTTTCTCAGAAATCACCAGAGAGTCCAGTAGAAGAGAAAAACTCAGCTGAAGACCAACCACTGGATCTCAGTTTTCCTGTTAAAAAAGCTGAAGAAATAGTGACCAAACCTGGAGAGGAGCCAAGAAAGACACACATTTTTGGGAACTCTAAAGACAACAAAATCTCACCAATCAACCGGCTCATGAGCCTACCATATCCTCGACCAGTAATCATGGACCCCATTTACAGAGTGAATCATCTAGACGGAAGTTCAGCCCCTAAATACCTGCGCATAGATTACCCTCATGAACATGCCAGCCGATCGTCATTTTCACCTATTCGTAAATTTGAGCACTACAATGGTGACAGTGGTTTAATAAAATCTGGTAGCAGTCCACCAAGCCAAGGTTACCCGTTTAAACATGTTATCTATCAAGGACCTTCAAACAAAATGATAGTACGTGGAAAAGATCGTTATACATGTAAATACTGTGGCAAGTTGTTTCCAAGATCAGCAAATCTTACACGTCATCTGCGGACACACACTGGGGAGCAGCCGTACTCATGTAAATACTGCGATCGATCTTTCAGCATTTCCTCCAATCTTCAGCGTCATGTACGCAACATCCACAACAAGGAAAAACCATTCAAGTGTCCATTATGTGATCGTTGCTTTGGTCAGCAGACCAATTTAGATCGTCACCTCAAGAAGCACGAAAACGATAAGACAGATGATAGCATTGTTGTTAGTAGCGAACTTAACGGAAAAGAGGATTCATATTTTGATGAAATTAAAAATTTCATCGGGGAAATGGAAGATGATGAGAATGAAGATGCCAGTCCAGAGAATGGATACAAGGACAGCATTGACCTCAGTCTGAAAATTGATGACACACACGATGCTGATACTTTGGCAAGTGATGTAGATGAAATGATGAGCAGCGAGGAGGACAAAGAATCAAAGGAGGTTGATGTCAGTGTTATGAACATTGAAAGCAAAATGGAAGATTGCTCAGAGGAAGAAGGTTCTGAACAATCGACAGGTGAGAACAGATCCCTTGAAAAGGTGGAACCAATGGAATCGACTACGGGACAGAATGATGTTGTTCTCAATAAGAAAAAGGAGTGGCTAGCTAAATTTGAACCAGAGAGTAAAAAGTTTGGTATCGGTTCAGGAAACAGGGAACTGAAACCAGTGTCACCAACAAATGGAAATGCTATTCATCCACTTCCCCTTGTTATGAGTCTTAGAAAAGGGGAGACACCATATGGAAGTAAACATAACCACCATCAACCAGCGACAGCTGTGTAATTTTTTTTTTATGACTGATATACACAATATCATTTTTATTAATGTTTTTATTATTTGGATTAATTATATATGCCAGTCAGCAACTTTTACCGATGTTTCATTAATGATATTTGTGTAGGCTGTACATTGAAAAGCATTTAATCACATTTTTACCAAATTCGCTTTTTTTTTTTATAGATTAGTCTTTGATTACTTTCAATAATTTTTTTGATACGGAACATTCCAAGAAAATGTTTCTCATGAATAAATTTCATTTTATTTAACAATTCAGCAAAGAAAACATATTTCTTTGTTGATTAAAAACAGTATAACTACCTCTGCTATATAAAAAAAAATAAAGAAACAACAAATGATTTTTTTTTTTTTTATGAAACTACACATTTTGAAACTTTATAGATCTGTTGTTTTGATTGCCGATTCAGTCTTTCGAAAACCATTATCTTTGTTTTTTTGGGGTTTTTTATCTTCATTTTTTTGTTTGGCAATCTTTATTTAACTGGCCGATTTTAACTCCATAATCAAGTCTATTATTTTCTATATTCACTTTTAAACATGCATTCCATTTTCATATACTGTATCTGTCTTATTTTAAATTTAAGGTAACAGATGAAAAGACCATATATTTAAATATTTCTCTTCTTAAGTATGAATATTTCTTAATTATTTTTTTCCCAAGGTAATTAATTTTCCTATTAGACTGAAATTGTAAAAGTATACTCTAGTTCTGTTAATATCAGAATTACAGATTATAATTAAAGTATATGATGTATTATTTTATATTTCTGCCTATCAATCAATTAATAATGAATTTTGATTAGAATATTATTGAATTGTTGATCAGTCAATCAGTTAATGATTAATTGACCAGCAAATTAATCAGTCAACTCATTTACCTTAATATAAGGTAAAAACTTAATGTAAGTGTTATTTTCTTTTTATTTTAATGGCTGAAATATTTTCAATTATGTAAATACATTCACAGTCCAGATTTTGGATATTTTTGTTGGTACTAAAACACATTTTATGTTACCCTGAATTTTTAAAGCTATTTTTAAATTGTCGTAAAGAAAACCACTTGAAGTGGCGTATTTTGTATTATGTTCTAAAGTTTTTCAAATTTGGATTTTCATGTAATTTCTTTCAAATTTAATTTCTTTTTTAATTAGTTGAATTAGAAATATTTTAATTCAAACATTTTGTATTTTCATTATTTTTTGTAGGAAAACTTGTAGAACTATGTAGAAAACTGACACTTAGAGAAATAAGTATGACTTTTTTTATGTAAAAAAAATAATGTTAGCCAAGAGAAAGAAAATGATAGAAAAATTGCAAAAAAAAAAATTAAGAAAGTTTCCAATGTCGGTCATTATATCTCCAATAGAATTAATGTTGTCTAGAACTTTGTTTTAAAACATAAATGAGTCCATGGGGTCAAGTGATAGATGAACTATGCAATGATGTATTTATCGAAAGTTTATTAATTTTGTTAATTAATAATAGCAATCAATTAACTATACCTTTATAATTCTGGTGCCACGTAGGGATTTTTGCGATGTTTGTGCCTTAGATAAATGATACCGGGAATGGGAGAGTGTAAGGTAGTTAAAGACAAAAACTTATTCAGTGGCCATGAAAATTTACAGATATCTGGAGTACCTACAGAATCTAAATTTGGCCAGAGGTTCAAGATTTTTACTTTGGTAGTTATCCTTGCAATAAAGTAGTGCACCGCATATTTGCCTACAGTAAATACCTATCTAGCCAGTAATGTACTTAACATTAAACATTGTTATTTTCATGTAGTGTTAGTTCGTACTGGATCTGACCAATCAGATGAAAAGAAATTTAAATGTTGAGAATGCTAGGTAGTAATGGCGTAAAGATGTAATTACCACACATAGGGTGAGCTTTCAGTGGAAAATAATTGTTAGTAAATGATTTATCAGTGAGCACTAGAAGGAATCAATGTCGTGAACTTTGAAGTTTGATTTTACATTCTTGAGGTGCATCTGATGTATCAGAGTTATTTTCTATCGTATTTACTGTTAGTATTGAGAAATTATTGCCATTGGAAAAAAGCAATTTTTTGTTCATAAAGTATTATTACAGTCATTAGGAGAAAACGTTTTGTTGGTTTGATAACTGCCACAGAACTATTTGTCAATATGTGTCCGTAAACTTGTGACTTATTTAATAAAGACAGGGTTAATATTCGGGATGTACCGATAAATTGTTAAGTGTATTACTTTTGAAAGTTAAAAAAACACTATTTGTACTGTATAGACACTAGGGGTAGATGACCCTAGGGTCAACTGTTCTTTTTTGCAACTCAGCTGTAAAGTAATGATTGAATTCTTAATGTTGTAGCTAATAATGTTATGCATAACCGGTGCCCTAAAACGGTGCATGGAGCCCACCTTTGCACTGCAGTCCATGTCCAGATTTAGGTGTAATTTGTTCTGTATAGGACATAATTATTATATGTATTATCTTTTTTCTGAAATATTACAGTCCAGCACAAATATAAAATAATTCAATGTAAAGATTACTGTACTTATTTTCAAAGGTTTTATTTTCAAAGTGTTAAGAAAATATGATGTTCAACCCAAAATAGAAATTAAAGATTGGTGTTGGATAATGATCTTTTGTGTATAATGACCAGTTATTAAGTGCCAGCCTTTGATGTCAATAAAATTATGTTTCTGAATTTTATTGTTTACATCAATTTTTTTTTCATGTTTTGTATTGACATAGTATCATAAGTCAGTTCATTGGGTGTTTCTATTGAAAATCAAGTTAGAAACCATTGATGGACCATGTCGCAACTGCATTTCGACTTGCGTGGAACTGTTTCTAGTTTGAATTGAAGATATTTACAGAGGTGTAACAGCTATGAGCTCCCACAGGCGAAAATCAGGGGCACTGAACCTTAAGGGTCTAGGATAATAATAAACATATTTTTCCCAGAACCATGGCAGAAATCAGCCATGCAGAGCCCTTTAATGAGCAGAACGTGTAAAACAGTCATCAATATATGCCCTTAAAATGTCATAAAGGACCCAAACACTGGGGCCCTAAGCGACGCGCATCCCCAAAATACGGCCAGATGAAGCCTTACCAGTGGCCTCAGTCCTCTTTGTTACGCCACGCCTCGATTTTTAATTGGGTTTGGGTTCAAATTCCAGTACAGTATTTGTTTACAGTGAAAAGAATTCATGTTTCGATACGAATGTTGGTCAAGGGTACAGTAAGCAAAATTTTCTGAGCATATTCACAGATTCAAAGTTAAGACGAATTTGCTGACATGAGACCACTGCTCTGAAAACTCCTACCCTAGAGGGTCCAGGTAATTTTAACCCCCTTCCCAGGAAAATTTTGCCTAGATCCCCTTTGCCATTTTGGGTAGTATTCTTACAACCAGAAATTTGTTGAATCTGCTTTTTGAGAATTCAATTCTGGCCGTCAAAGCTAAACACACGAACTATTGTAGATGATGAGTAAGAGAGCGACAAACATTTAGAAATGTAGACATATATTTATGCGCAAGATTTACGTACTGTACTTAGCGTGAGACAAATCCTGAATGCTTGAGACTTTGTAGGTCTAGCAATTTGTTTATATTGAAAAGTTTGGACAGGCATTTAATCCATCTATTGTGGTTAAATGAGAGGCACCACGGTACCGTACTCGCGCGAATAAGCGCCCGGGCGCTTAAAATATTTTTTTGCACTTTCTGAGGGGCGCTTATTTAAACGGGGCGCTTATGAAAACAGAGTGGAAATTGAGGGGGCGCTTATGGAAATAGATGAAAATCGAGGGGTTCTTATGGGAAATTATTAAATTCAAGAGGCACTTTTTGAATGAAAAGGACATTACGAATGGTGGTTAGGCGGAAAAGATAATCCTTCAGAGAACATGGCTCATGACAAGAATGCGTGAATATTTACATAGGCCTAACAGTAAAATAGCAGATGCAATTAGTGGTGGTGGGTAGTGGTTAGCTTGTTGGCCATCGGCCGATTGAGATTAGCAGGATGGCAGGATCATTGTATTTTTTCTTGAAAACTCAGATGAAAATATGCTAAAGGTCGGGAAAAGAAAAAGAGGAGTAGGACTAGGCATAGACAAATATGTAAAAAAGAGTAAAGTTGGAAATATACTGTCTGTCCAGGGATCGGAGCTCTCATCTGTCCAAGAGAAATATCCTCATTTTGATATTGACCTAGGAAGAATGTGTTTTCACTCTACAGCTCATAAATCATGCCAACAACCACAGTCCCAGGATTGATTGGATTATTGACTTGCTAACAAGAAAATCTTATATTATTCAAATTAGAAGGGGGCACTTACTCAAACGGGGCGTTTAAAGAAATTTTCACGTTAGGAGGAGCGCTTATTCAAACGGGGCGCTTATTCGCGCGAGTACGGTATTCTTAAACTTTAGCATGCAAGGGACCATAGGGATGTGTTTTAGCATAATTATTATAGTGCAGTACAGTACAGTAGTTTATTATCTTAAAGTACTCTCGGAACTGGTCGTAGGGACAAGACATGGTCCTATAGGTCCTTGATTTGACCTTTGCAATGCCTGTGAGGGGAGGGGTGTCTAAGGGAGAAGGAGGATAGCTAACTATTCTTAAAATTTACTTCAAGGGCCACCGACCCTTAGGGGCCCATTCAGTGCCCCTACACATAGGGTCTAGTAGGCCCTTGCTGTTTAGCACCCCAATCCAAAAGGGCTTGTTGATACATAACAGCATAATGTGTCACTGACATCGACTGTAGGACATATATCACATTAATCCAGTGAGGCTGGGTTGCCAGCTGGCCATGACTCCCCCTACATTTGTAAACATTGTTTAAAAGTGGAGATAAATTATTCAAATTTTAAGTCTGAATGAGTGCCATTTTCATTTTTTTTTGAGTGCCATAATCATAATTTGCTTTGCAACTCCCAGTATAGAATAGACTATAGGTCCTAGATTAGAACTTTGCGACACTCATGAATGGAGGGGTGTCTAAGGGAGGGGGAGCATAGGAAGTCAATAAATTTGTCGAGGAACACTGCTTTCAAAAAGCATCTTTACCATTTGAGTGCCATTTCCAAGCCTGTTCTTAAAATCTGCTCACCTCAGCCCCAAACCCTCAGCCACAAACATAGTGGGGCTGAAGTGGGTGTGAAATACCTATTGGGGATCCGCCCCTGTGATTCATTTTTGAGCTTTACTAAGAGACTAAATATACATTTTATGGGAGACGTTTTAGTTTATCTAGTAATAGCATCATTCTTGTCGCACATGTTTGCATGCTTCTTCTCCACCTTTGATTCTATTTTACACATCATCGATTTTTGCATTTCATGTTATGATTTTGAATGTTTTATGGGTCAGTGTGTGATTATTTAAATAAGACACAAGTTTGGAAGACAGTTTTACACTTTCGCCTATCCTCACCAGCCCCTGCTGATTCCATTTCATTATATTTCAGTTAAATCTCAAAAAAAAAAAAAAAAAAATGTTCAATTAAAAAGTGTACTTTGTAATTCAATTCCGAACAAAGTAACTATATAAATACTTGGAAGAATTTCATCCAGTTTTTAGTTGAATTAATATACAAAAACACTACAAAGTAAACAATCTATTCAGATTAGACCTTTTTTATTGTTTCAATTGCATATTTAAAGATTGTTGTGGTGTCTTCGAAAATAATACCCATCTCATTGGGTGTGAACACAGTCATGGTGTCCTGTTAATGATTGTCTCTATAAGAAACTGGTTTACAAACCCAGGGCATGTCCTAATAGGAAGGCACTGTACACTGAATGTCCTCTTCTTTACATACATTCTTCAAATGAAGCAAGTGTTCATGTCATGATCATACAAACATGTGTTTTACCACCAAAATATCCATATTCATGCACCTTCATACTGGTGTGCCATCAGCTAGCTGCTTGCCTCCTCCTAATACAGAACCTTTGACTTCTAGGCTTTGCAGACCTTCAGACAGTAAGTCTTCTTGGGTGTTTAAGCGATGGATCAGAACATCCGGATTATTTTTCAGCTGTTGTATTAATGTTTCCTCTTGTTTTTCTTTCGCTAACTCAACTAAACTCTGTAAAGTATAGAGCAAATTATAACAAAGCATTTCTGTATGTTCATATGATTATTTTGCCTTATTCAAAAAATGAAATTGGGTTTTTGTTCAATTTTAGACTTGAATATCGACAGGCCAAATCAATCACTCCTTGCAAAAACATTAATTTTCAGCTATTAATACAGGCAGCATGGTATAAAGTGGTAGAAGAATAATTTAAATCCGACATTTCTGTTAAAAAGTTACTTGAGTTTAAACATACAGCTATTTAAAGAACTGTATTTGAGAAATCAGCAAAGTTTATGATTCAGCAATTTTTCCGGCAGAGACCATCACCAAAAAAATTGGAAAATATTACAAATACTGTAGAGGTTGATGTATAAAATATTGATGTGAAATAAAATTAAGACTGGTTTGGCTAGTCTTTCCCACGTATAAAGTCTTAAGTAACTCTAGTCCAGCAAAAGCAACATCTATCAACCTGGCCAATGAACAAGAGATTAATTTAAAGACCCAATACACGATTGTATAGCAATTGATTTTACTGTGTCAAGGTTAGTATGATTTAGTAATAATAAAACTGTAATATTTATTTTATTTACATACAGTATATATATGCCTAATCGATCAGAGATCGTCATAGATGTTGTACATTAAGCTTTCTAGTTGATAACAATTATCAATAATTTTCTAGTTTTAGTTGAAGTGTTTTTTTTTTTTTTGTGAAGAATACAGGGTTTAGCTGATATCTGGTAAAAATGTCAGAACTCTTGAGCAGTCCACGAATTGGATTGGCTAAGATGATGATTATATAACAACAAACTAGGCCGGGTGTTAGCCAACATAAAGCTCATCTATAATTTCACCAGCTATCCCTTGGCACTGATTTTTATTTAGTTTATGTTACATTATTGATTATGAATCCATGTGCCTAAACATGGTCATGATGACATCACACGATGCCCATAAATAGGCACATCATAACTATATATGGACATACAACAGATTTTTTGTCTGGACAGGACTTCAGAATAGCACTCGGTGTCAGCCAATTCACTTGGTTATTTTCAGTTAGGTTTAATACAACTGTTTTTTTTTTTTTCTTGCAGTACTGGTTCCTAGCTTGTTTTCTTACCTGAAAGGACCTAGGCTCAAATATGGCGAGGTTTGATAACATCTTACGATCAATTCGAATGTTGCACTACAAAAAAAAAAAAAAAAAAAAGTTAATTTTTGTATGCTTTTTAAACGGTCAGACATGGATGTGGTACTGCATTATGAATGTGAGGTAAAAGATGATATTGTTGGTGAAATAGAATGCATCTGTGGAGGGTATGTAATATTACTGTCAATGAAAGATGTTGAAGCTGACAAAAGAAAAAAAAAAAACGATAATTTAACTAGAATTACTTCTTTTATGCTACACACAAAGCATGGTGTAATTTTACTTGGGTATGTTATTGGTGATGTGGAATTAATATATGAAGTCTTTGGGGTTTGAAAATCAACTACTGTATATTGATTGTGTGTTCAGAATGGCCTTATACCTGGAGTGTTTTGTTGGTACATAACTGTTTATACCTATGAATGACTTAATACTAGGCCTAGGATTTTTACTGTGTGGTTTTTCTAAGCCTAAGAAGCTGCCCTGGCCTAGGATTTATTTGTAGGCCTGGGCATAGTTGTTGGGCACGAGCACTTAAATGTCCTGTATGTAGCTGAAACGTAAGTAGCACTAGGCCTGGCCTTTTAATATTTAGGTTTATTTAGGTCTGGAATGTTGGACAGGCCTAGAGAGGACTAGAAAATAGTTGACAACCAGATTTTGCGTTGGAGCTGAGAGGAAAAACAAGACAGTTGTATTAATAATATTGGATGGAATATGAATTAGATTGTTATTATTATTATATTATTATATTATTATTATTATTAATTATTATTATTATTTTACCATTCCTTGAGTTGGAACATTGTGATTAATGTGTAGTGTAATACATTCTGTAAATCGCTAATAAAACACATGCAAAGTTTTTAAGAACATTTATAATTAAACTGTTGTAAAGGAGATCACCAATGCATTATGTTTTGGTTTGTTTTTCCTTTTTATACTGTACAATCCCTACTAGTATAGTATTTACTGGTAGGCGTATGTATTTTATGCAAGATATTTTTATGATCTGATGTGAATGCACCACTGAGACAAGTATCACTGACATAAAAGCATACATTCAAATGATTAAACAAATTAATTACTGAAAATGATGGTGATACCAAATGACAGTGCTAGTGATTATATAGTACAGTACAGTGTTAGCGATGATAAGATGATGATAGTGAAGGATATGATGAAGTTTAGGTTTGCCTTGCATGCCACAGGAGATGATTGTGAATGTAGTCGTGATGTTTTGTAAAATTTTGTTCTGATTTTAATTGAAGATATGCTTGCACTGATGTTGATGCAATCAAATTTGCAAAAGATATTTGCTTCTTTATTATTATTTGTGATGATCTTATGATAAGGGTGGTAATGGCAATGTCTATGAAGATGATGAAGTTGATTATGATAATGATGATGAAACAATAATTATCATCATCAAGAACAGTGTAAAACTCTGTCCTGAATATAAAATTTTCATTAACAAAAAAGATTTATGCCCATATATAGTCATGATATGCCTATATATGGACATGATGTGATGTCATCATGAGGATATTTAGGCACGTCCCACGGTTTTGTCAAATCTGAGAGTCGGAATAGGGTTTGCAGGACTCACCCTAGAAATATTTGCCATGAATGATGAATATCTCATACCGTGCTCTCGGGCTGCAGCGCTGATACGCATATTCCAAAGCTAAAAAGACAATGTACACAAAATGTTAACTGTAACTGTCAATTTTACAATAAGGAATAAGAACATTATATTGTACCGCAACTTTTGCCAAGGATACAAGGCGCTGGCGATGTTTTTATTATTACCTGTGGTCATTGGATCCATAATTAGCAAACCAGCACAAAGTGCAACCTCCTCCACTCCCTGGGGAGTATTCATAGTTGTTCTTGCAATTTAATGCCGATACAGACTAGTACATTTAATGCCACATCAACCAGGTACCCATTTATATTCCTGGGTGGAGAGAGATAAACGCAGCAAAGGTTCCTCCAAGTTGACTGAAGTGCAACTACTGTGCCGACTGCTCCCACAGCAGAAGTGCACGTAACCATTTCAAAAAAGTATATTCTGATTTAAATAAGATTTCTGAACTTGTTTATTATTACTGTATTTTCCTGTGTGTTGATAACCATGGTAACTGAGTTCAAGGCATTAAATCCTTAAAAATCACCTTAATTTGCGATTTATCACCCCTCAAACTGATCAAGCCTCGCACTTTACCTCAGCGCCCCCAATCAGTACCCCCATTTCAAGACTCCAAGATTCGGCACTGCTTCAGGGAGACAGTTGATACAGTAGTAAAATGTATTTATTTTCACTATATTAAAAGAAGGTAGCATCAAACTGTATTTGACAAAAAAACTGTTGTAGTATGCACGTGTGTATGGTCATCTTATGACCATATTTAGGCATGTCAAACCTTTGTGTCATATAAAATTTGATAGTCTGAAAGTGGCTTTACAGCACAAAGCGAGCTTGAAAAGGCCCTCTATCGAAGGTACAGTGTAATTTAAAAAAAAACTACAATAATACAAACAAATACTGTAAGTGATAAACAAGAAAAAAAACATGTAAATATCATAAATTTGAATGCGATGGGTTAGTGTCCGGAAGATTGTAATTGTTGGTAGCAGGAAAAACACGCAGTAGATCGCACAACTCAACTTGGAATGCCTGGGAGACTATTTCTGGGCATGCAGATAATTTTTTTGTTTACACAAATATGGTAATACATTTATACAATACTAATCTTTTGTACTGTACTTTTCTATTCAATTACATGGTGACCAATTTTTGTGTTTGCTTACTGTAGCTCATTCCAAACATATTCCTTTTACCTGAAATTGAGAATAGCCAATTTATGAAATGAATAAATGGACAAATTGACCTGTCTAGATTAAAACTATTTCCTATATGAACATGTTTTCTGTCGGACATAAGAAATTTCATTTTTGTAAGAGCAATAAGATCAATTAATAATTAGCAATAATCAGCAATTAAAGTCAAATAAAATATCCCACCTCACGAATTGATCTTTTCTTGACTTTACGGCTTCTAAAACTGAATTGCCATGCTCGTTGCACTGCCCTCACTGCCACACGATAACAATTTCGCCTTCTTCCATAGAAATGCTGCAGAAAAATAGACAGATACTGGTAATGTATAAATTAGTTCCTAAGCATTAGCCTACTA